AAGAAGATCCTTGAAGTGGAGATGATAGGACTAGAGAAAAGGGTATGGGTAAGTGTCTGCTTGGAGAAGTGAATCCAGCCATTTAGGATAACCACTATGTTCAGTTCAATACTGGGTATAAATAGTGATGGAGAAAACCTGATGTGAAATCAAGGACTCTAGTCATTAACAGAGGAAAATCAGCCATGAGCAAAATTAAAATCTGCCAGCGAGAGCTTCTGTGCATCTTCCAGCAGCAGAGAGAATGTCTTGATAGTAAACACGTAAACACATCTTGAGGGACCTCTCTGAGCAGTCCAGTGGGATACTTGTCCCTTTGGGCATCCGGAGCAAGGAGCCTGATCTCAGGTGAGGAACTGGGCTGCCTCTGTGCTGGCAGCATTGGAGCCCAGCTGTCAGTGAGTTTGAGTTTGGCTCTCAGTGGCTCTGTATACATGGATGTTTCTAAGTAGGTTTTCTACACTGAGGCAGGATGCCAGTGCCCCTCTCTCCAGAGAGCAGTCTTAGGTGCTCCTTAAGGTGTTCCTGAGCTGAGGAAGAGAAGGTTGAAGCCCAGACCCAGTCTGAACTCATGTTTCTCCAGGACAGTGATTTAGATGCTGTAGCAGGCAGGGGAATTATTCTCTCCTGACCCTGGACTGGTATTTTTTGGCTCAGATGAAAAGTAAGAGCCCAACAGCCTCCAAAGCTGTCTTCACTGGTTGATGCCTCAAAGGACTGGAGATGCTGACAGACCCAGCAGCTACCACACCTGGGAGTCATTGCCCTGACCTCCACTGTTGGCCTGCCAACAACCCTGCTGGGTCCCCATACAGGAAAGGGAAGAAGCCTCTGGTGAGAGAAATCCATCAGCTTTGTTTGGCGTCATGTGTCCCTTTAAAGCCCCTCACAGGGGCTTATTGTTGAGGGTGTTGTAGGGTTGCTCATTGTTTGGGTGCAAACCCATCAGGAGTGCTGTGAGGCTGAGAGAATTGTCCCAGTGTGGCTGTTGGAACCTTCAGAACTTGCCCATCAGTGATCCTGTCCTGGTCCACTTCCCTGGCCCAGTGCTGCCAGCCAGGTCACCCACTCTGCTCTGCCTCAGCTGTGCACCCCATGGCCACTCTGCTGCCTTCCAGCTCCGGGCCAGCCGCAGGAGCAGCCCCCCTACACTGCCCACTCTCGTCTCTGATCCCATGTACACAGGACAGCCTGCAGAAACTTCTGATAGCCACTTTATTTACTTGTTTGCGTCTCCTGCTTAAAAAAAGGGATGCCGAGAGTCCAAACTTGCTAATTATACACCTAGCCACCCACACCACCATGTGTTTTATTTCCATCGCCATCCATGCTTCCTTCTTCCCGCATCGCCAGCTCCATGAGCCCTTCCCGAATCTCTCGCGCTTGAGGGGCACTGCCAGGTGCATCCCGGCAAGCTCGGTGAGCTCAGACCCTGAGCCAAGGCCGTTCTCACACTTGAGAAGCCAATGCCAACCGTGGGGTATTGGGGCGCCGCAGCCGTCCCCAGCGATTTGGACACGCAGGCACCGGGCCCAGGATTTTCCCGCGGGCGCCGTCCGGTCCCGCGACGCTGAGGGTCGGGAGCGGGCAGGCCCCGCGACCGGGGCGGTGCGGGATTGTGCGGAGCTGTTCGGACGGTGCCGGGCTGTGCGGGGCAGTGCAGACGGTGCGGGACAGTGCGGGCTGTGCAGGGCTGTTCTGGCAGTGCGGGGCTGGGCGGGGCTGTGCGGGACTGTTGGGGCGGTGCGGGACTGTTGGGGCGGTGCGGGCTGTTCGGGCTGTGCGGGCTGTTCGGGCTGTTCGGGCTGTGCGGGCTGTTCGGGCTGTGCGGGCTGTGCGGGCTGTGCCGGGTTGTGCGGGTTGTGCCGGGTTGTGCGGGCTGTGCAGGCGCTGCGCTCTGTGCGGGTGGCGGGGCGGGCGCTGAGCGGCGCTCCGGGGACACCTGGTGGCCGTCTGGCGAGCACCGGACGCGGCCGAGGAGGGGGACACGAGGGGCAGCCACGAACACGCTGCCGGCGCCGCACAGCCTGCGTGCAGGCACTGCCGGTGTGAAGCCGGGTGTTATGGGGATGCCTGCTTGGAGGCGATGGAGTCTCCACTGCTCCCCTGTTGATGAGATGCGGACGGGCAGTGTGTCCAGACTGCTGACACCAGAGCTGGGGACAGGGAGGGGCGGGACCCCCAGCTCCGTAGAGCCCCTGGAATGGCTTCTCCAAAACCAACCCGGCTCTTCCCTGCCAGCCCCAGGGATGGATTTGCTGCTCCCTACCATTAGGAGCAACACCTTAGTTCTGAGCACAGCTGGGTCAGAACACTGCCGCAGAGAAACATTTTTATCAGAGACAATAAAGACCTGATTTTCACCTGGAAATTGCCCAATTTGACTTGTGATCCTTGAAAAGCAGCCCATCGCATCCCAATTCTCAGAGCAATTTAGTCTCTGTTGGAGCCAGCAGCTCTTTGGTACTGTCTTTCCACCTGTCAGGAGATCAGAACAAGCATTTTATTCACTCCTTTCCAGCTCTATCAGACCAGCTGCATCTAAGGTGTGAATCAGATTCTCTACATCACAAATGTCTCAGCTGTCCTCCCTCTAATCCAAGTCCACAGGCTGTGTCACCTTCTTCCTTCCCTCCTGGTCCTTACCAATTCTTTCCCCTCCATCAGCTTCATAGACCTTTTCTTCTCCATGTCGGTGGCCAGGATCCAGCTCTCTGTCTGGCTCAGATTCACTTTGCTTTCTCTGCTCCATGCTTCTTGCCCACCATTTCCCTTCCCACTGCTGTCCCGACTGTGCTCTTTTGTTTCTCTGGGTACCATCTCTGCCAGTCCCATTAGGGCAGTCATGTCTCACCATCCTTCCCTCCTGCCCCACACTGAGACTTGCCTCCCCCACATCACTCCTCTGACCTTTCTAGCCCCCAAGCCACCTTACCTGATGCTCGTGCCACAGCCACCTTTCCCAGGACTGGTGAAGGCTTTGTTACACTCCAGGGATGAACAGCCCCTCAATCTGCATGCTGGTGCTGTGCCCATGACAGAAGCAGTGGTGTCGGACTAACACCCATGGGAGTATTTCAGTGTTGGCTGAAGCAAAATTGCTTTCTGTAATCATGTCTGTGGGGCTGGTGAAAGCACTTCCTTCTCCCTTTGTGCTGTGGTTCACCCTGTGGGGCTCAGGGCTGAGACATGCCAGGTATCTATGCTGCTGCACAGGCTCCTATGGCTGAGAGAAGGCTTGGTCCACTCCTGCCAGACACATTGTCCATGGACTTTCACAGCCCTTCCTTCAGCCCCCTCTCCAAAATGACAACTGCCTAGGCAATGCTGTGCCTCTGCTTCTCAGCAGCCTTTGTGAGATGGTTTTCTCTTGGGCAGAATCTCGAGCTTGCATGCCCAGAGGCAAAGGTACTGTGTCCTGACTGGACATGGGCCTCTGCTTAGAAGATCCAAAGCACCTCCTGAGAGCTTCTAGGAAGGTGTGGGCTCAGGGACAAGTGCTCAACAAATCTCTTATGCTTTTCTCTTCCATCAGGAATGGGCCCACATCTGTCCTGGGGCTATGGCAGCTGTACCTGGCCATGGTGCTGCTTAACATCAGCTAGATCAGGAACAGGCATTCACACTTTCCCCTGCCCTCAGACCAGACAGGGAATGGCAGTGCAGTAGGGCACCAGTACCTGAGGGCACCAACCTCCGCTGGTGCTGTCCTGAAAGGGAAAGCCTTCAGCCAGTGTGGGTTAACCTTCTCACTCTGAAGTCTGGGGACATGCACCACAGCCACAACCTGCTAATGAGCCCGGGAAGCAAGGCAGAGTGTTTGCTTGACAGGGCAATTAAATGATGACTGATTCCTGGAACAGCTACTTAATTCATCATTAACTGGCTTATCATAGCCGGCATCTGTGCCAAGGGTCCCTCTGAGAACTGCCTCAGGGGATGTGGTGTGGAGGTGAGATCTGTGAAATACAAAGCTAGATTTGCTATTTCTCTATTTTCATGCCTTATTTTGGCTCATTCTACCCAGTACTTGCCTTAAGAAGCTGAGAATACACAACACAGCTGTGCATTTCCCACTCTGCTGAGGAGTGCTGCAACAGGGCTGGGGAGTGTGGGGGCTCTGCTCAGCCAGCTGGTTACAGGAGCAGCCGTGCACAGGGGGAGGCAGTTCTGTAGGGAGCCAGCAGCTGTCAGGCAGCAGTAGAGCTGCAGCAATGGTTCAGCTCAACTAGGGCACCGCAGTCTGCCTCCTCCCAGGTGTGCCCAAGTTGTGCATGTATGGTTGTATGTGTGCATCCTCCCCATGCATCTAGCAGTATCTCACCACCATTACCAGCTGCCAGACCCCACGGGTCTGATGGATATGCATGCTATCCAGTCTTGCTGGTTATCATGACAGAGAATTTGACAATTTTGTTTTTACTGCTTTCTTGCTTTCATCTTCTTAGTTCATTGCTCTTTCCCCAAGCTTGGTTGTTCACAGGCTTTCTTTATCACCAGGCTTATTTTATGACTAGTCTTCCTTTTATAAGTCCCTGTGTGGCTAAATTCCCTGTAGGATTCAGAAAACCCAAATGGGGTTTGGGGACAACTGCAGGGCTGGTCTGATTCTCTCCTTCCCTGCATATGTGCCCACAGGGCTGGTCCTCACCCTCTCTACCGTTCCCTCTCTAATGTCATCTCTAGAAGCTTGATGGCCCTTGTCTCCACCTGCAAGCTCAGACCATGTGGTGCATGGTCTCTATGTGATGTGCTCATCTTGCTGACTGAGGAGTGGGAAGCATCTCTAATCCTTCTGGTACTGGGACTGTTTCACATCTTCACCTTGTTGGAGAGGAAGGTTTCAGCCTGGCTGCTTTCCAGCAGGGCTGAGCACACTGCTGTAAGCATGTTGTGACACACGTCCTCATTGTCCCCTCCCCACAGCAGACGAATGCCAGGACTGGGTACGAAGGCTGCAGTTGGTGGCTCCTTTGCTTATTTATCAGAAGCATTGTGAGATATTCTTCTGCACTTTTCCCCTTGTCCCTGCAGTCTCCCAGGGAGAGCATCAGCCCCAACTCCCAAGACTGGAAGGCAGCAAGAAAAAAACACTTCACTACAGGTAAATCTTTTATAATTCCAGAGGGTACAGGACTAGCACAGGCTAAATCCTTCTAGCTGTAGCCCTGCCCAGTCCATGCTTTGTACAGCAGCTCCAAGATCCTGGCTCTGCTCTAAGGACAGCTCCAGGACTGTTTAAGGGACCAGAGAGGTTTGAGCTCACCTCAGTTCCCTGGGATGAAGCCTCAGCCCTACCCAGCCCACATTCACAGACCTCCCCATACTTCAGGAGCTTTTTCCTGTGATTTCTTTTGCTACCCACACTGTTACTCTTCCAAGTATGTTCACCCTAGGATGTTTGTTGCCTGCAAGCCCTCACTGTCTCTTCCCCACGGACCAGGTCAGTGAGACATTTTCCACCAGGCCTTCTAGCATCCTCTGGGACTCAGCAGAGTCCTTGCCGAGCAGCAGTCCAGCTGCATAGATGCACTCATCCCACGCTGGTTCCCTGGCACCTCCCAAACTGCCTTTTAGGTTTCCAATTCCTCCCAGCTCCTTTCCCTTCTTTTCCTCTCCCACGCTCTGTTTCCCAGTGCTTGCTGCTGTGAACGTGTGGCTTTTCTGTGCAGCTTTGCTCCTTCTCCAACTTGTTGCTGAGGACTCCAGGTGAGAAGCACAGCAACTTCCACACAAGGCAGCACTTACTGCCCAGTGACCAGCAGCCTGCCCATTGGTGTTTCTCAACACATTTGGAACTGACTCCCTTCAGCAGTTCTCGGCAAGATCCCATTCCTTCCTACCCAAGCTTGCTGCCAGAATAATTTCTTGAGATAAGGCGTGGATGCTGTACTAAACTCGTCAATTTTCTCTCACTAGCTCTGGGCTCCTGCTTTGGCTGCTCCCAAATGACACCTGGTGACTGGTGTCTCCTTACTGTTTTGTTAAAAATTTAGTTATTTTATTAGAAATCTAATTTGCATGTTAAGGTAAGCAAAGAAGAGGACTGTGGTTTCCTTGCATGAAAACTGAGATGTAGCTTTGAGCTTCTCTCAAAGCTTGTGTCTGTGCAGAAAATAAAACCATCTTTGCTACAAATATGCATCTCCCTTAAATATTTTGAAAATACTTAATGGCCATCTGCTGCATGAGCCATTACCAGCTTTGTAAGTAAGGTGGGAGACTGTGGAAGGCAGGGAATGGTTTTGGGAAGGGAGAAGTGAAGGGCATTCACCAAAATGCACAGTGTTTTAGCAGTATGAGAGGGCTTTTGAACAGTTCAGTTTTCCTGAGAAGATTTCCAAAATGTGATGACCACTGCCTGAACAAAGCCAGTGGACAAGTCCATTTAAATCCCTGCATGGCTCCCAAACCTGCATGATGTGGTAGAGTTTGGCCAAGGAAACAGGACCACTTGGGCTTTTCACTCTCTAAAGTCTTCAATTTCTCTATTTATATTTCCTTCTTGAGATTTAAAGCCAAGGCGATGTGCTGTCTATCAGAAAACCAAGTGTACCTCAGGGATTCTTGGAGCAGGAGGAAGTGTGACCCTGTTACACAGCATCCTGCAGAGCAGTCAGTGACCAAGGTCTCTAAGGAGGACAGGAACATTTGAGGTTTCAAGGCAATAAGGTGGCATGGTCAGGGAGCTGGGAAATGCTAAAGAGACTGTAAAACTTGAGGCTCAAGTAGTGAAGAGGGCAAAGTAATTGTTTCTCTCTCCTGAGAATGCTGATATTTCACTGTACTTTTTTTTTGTTCCAAGGTGGGTTGTGAAGCCAAGATAGTAAATGCTCCTCTGAAGGAAAAGGGTGGAAATATTTCATCTGAGAAATTTTCATGGGGGAAAAAAATGAGAGTACTACAAGGTTTCAGCACTCTGAAATGGAGGAAGGAAGCGGGAAGTGAATTTCCCTGAGGAAGAAACCCATGTTGACGTTTGTAGCTGAGGATCTCCTTTGGACTCAGCATTTTCTGAAGCTGGTGGCCCAGAGCCAAAACTGTCTGGCTGCTGCTGTACCCCGGAGTGGAGCTGGTTTAAACAGCACTTTGGTGTGATGGATCATTTACTTAAAATTTCATCATTTCAAAGTGGACCAAACCCCATATAGTCTCCCCTTCAATCTCCACATCTTTCTGCTTCTCCTTACCAAGCATCCAACACTCCCACCCCAGCCTAAACCATGTCCACCACCTCCATGTCCTCACAGCAGCCCTCTGGCTTCCCTTGGTGGCTCACTGCACCTGCCCCAGCACCAGCTCAGCCTTGGATGAATCCTAGAGAATTTCCCCTGCACCTGAAAGCCAGTTAGGTGTATGTGTAATGTCCAGAGGGATATAATTCGCTATGCAATCCTCCACTTTGGGAAGTCAGGGAGGCTCCTCGAGTGACTGTCAGTCTCTTATCTACTGTGCTGTCAGTCTTTGTCACAGCACACATTATGAACCAGCAGAAAAGATGTGGTAGGTCCTTTCCTGTGAGGCTGCACATGGCCAACTTAAGATGCATTATAGATACAGCAAATCCTCATGTTAATCCAGCCTGAATCAGATAACCTTACTGCAGGGCTGCATCCTTATCTTGCTACCACCTGGGGAATAGCATTCAAGCTGTGCAGAGGTGGGGAGGGGTCTTGCTCTTTCCAGTATTGCCAAATTTTTCTATTCCCACTAGCCTCTAGACATTGGCTGTGCATGGGTGAGAGGCTTTTCTGCTCCCTTGCCTTGCTGAAATAACAGCCTGCTCCCTCCCACCCGCTCTGCTCCTGCAGGATCTCCCCACCACTGCTGGCAGCATGGAAAGCGTGCGTGAGCTCCAAAACCCTCTCTTAGCCAAATCCAATGGCCACCTTCGCAGCAGCTATTCTTACCACCAGCATCACAGCCAGGACTACCCCAGTCATCGCTGCCAAGGGAAACTGTACTCCTACATATTCCAAAACACCGGTGGTGCCAGGACTCACCAGCTGCTGGATGCCAGTTCCCTGCAGCTGGCTGTTGAAGCTTTGTACGGCCCCAGTTTCATCCTTGTGAAGGATGAGACTGCTCTCAAGGCCAAGGACAGCAAGATGGAAAGCTGCGAGACCACTTTTACAGAAAGCAAAGAGTCTCCTTCAGAAGCTCCTGAAGGGCATGAGGCACAAGGGTCCTGCCTGGTGGAGAGTGACATCCGCATCCAAACTGTTTCCTATGAGGTGGAGGAAGAGGAGATCCAGGAGTATGAGGTGAGCTTGGACAGGTGGGATAGCACTAAACTCCTGTGGTCATTCCTTCTGGACATTGGCTCAAATTCTTGACAATTTATTCTCCCTTCTTTAACCAAAACTCCCCCCAAAATTCTACTGTCTCCTGCCTCACCAGCCTCCCTGTGCACCCAGTATTTCTTCTTCCTCTTTATAATTTCTGCTCCTTTTTCCTCACTGCTGACCTCAGAAGGAGGTCAGCTTCCCTAAGAGCAGCCTGGCTGCCTGCTGCTGGGAGCAAAAGGGAGATGGGTCTCTGCAGGACCCTTGGAAAATGGGAATGCTTTGACAAGAGCAGCCTGCCACTGCTGTGACACTCAAGCTAACGAGAAACAGCAATTCTTGCATAACAGCAAAAGTCACATGTGTGATGGCAGAAGCTGAGAGAAAGCTTTATATATATATATATAAAGACAGGATGGATCCTGCACAGGAAGAATGAGAGCTGACAAAGCAGCCTCATTGCTGTGCTGCACCCCACTATGCCTGAGCAGTGGTGCCAAGGCTGGGAAACATCATCCAGGATCTTGAGAGGTGGGAGAGAGTCCCAGAGCTCACTGGAGCTGATCCCTGATGACCCAGCACAGCTCTGCTTCTTTTGGTGTTGGTGACGTAGCCCGTTCAGATAACAGCAGGGATGTCCCCACCTCTGTGTCCCTTCCCTACCAAGACACATCCCTTGCAACGTGGTCTGAGGCTGACCCAGTGGTGCCCAAAGGCAAGAGGGCTCACCCCAGCCACTGAGCAGTGACTCACTAAGGGGACGGGCCTGCTGGCCCTGCAATGTAGGCTCCACTTCAAATGCTTTCCCTCACTTCCTAAATTAGTTTAGCAGGATATTGATCTCCTAGTCTCTAATGGGGAAAGTTACTTTGTTTAAGTTTGTTTAAGCTGACAAACAGTCAGATCTGCCAAAGCTGAAGATATTTCAGTGTAAGACTCTCTCTAATGCAGGGAAATCCCAGACCCCCAGCATTAGCTCTGGCAGGGAGCCGAGAATCCATTTCACTCTTGAATTTGCTGAGCTATGTTATTCCTCATCAAACCATGCTGAAGAGTCTAAAATATTTTTGAAATTTACTCTTTGAATTTGCCAGTGGGAATTGTATGAGATTATGTGACGGGATCAGGAGAGAGTGGGAACTGGGAGGCGAGGCGAGAGATGCAGCCTGCAGAGCCGCAAGGGGAGGTGGGCATGTGCTGAATCCGTCTGGTTTTGCAGAGCGACTCCTCCAGCGACAGTGAAAGCGAGGATCATTTCCTGATGCTCCCCCCCCGGGACCACTTGGGCTTGGCTCTTTTCTCCATGCTGTGTTGCTTCTGGCCCCTGGGGATTGCTGCCTTCTACTTCTCCCAAGGGGTAAGGAATCCCTTTGCTTTCCTGCATGTGCCAAGTGCTAAAGCAACGCCCCTGAAAGCCACAGCGACTCATGGGGGTGACTAACACCTTTCTGAATTTAAGGCTCATCTCTGTGCCATGGCCATAACTCTGAGGGTTGAGACAAAGGGTGCTCCTGCATATCTCCACAATTGTTGTGGGGTTGGAACCCCTCCAGTTCTGGTGTGGGTTACTGGAGGTCAGGCTTTTCCTTTGGGTTTGCTGGCTGTTATTTAGGTAACTGGGGCTCGTCTTGTGAGAAGCTCACCCAGCTTCTCACCCTCCAGCCAGATTCAGGAAAATGGCATTTCCCCACCTGTCCTCCCATTCTCCAGTAATGTGAAGGTTCTACACCATGGCCCAGACTGAGGAAGCTCATGCCACAGGAGCCAGGCTGCTCTGGAGGCTGGACACAAAGGGGAGCTTGGTGCCCATATCACCCTATAGCTGCTCTCTTGCACTTGTTTCTGATGCACATTGGCTAACCTGTGGGAACCAATTCCAAGCTGGCATAGGCTGGAGAGGCAATGGCCCTCAGGCTGCAGCAGCAGCTCAGAGGAGCTGCTGTGTCCTCGAGGGCTCACCCAGAGCCTGGGCTCACGTTGCTGTTGACCCAGAATAATTCATGCAGAGCCAGGAGATTTACTCCACATTTTCATAGATGTTGCTGCACCAAGAATAGATGGGTGGAGGCATTAAGAAATTAAATCAAGAGGATAGGAACAGAAATGGAAATATATATTACATGAGTACCTGGCACAAGGCTGGTGAGAGGCAGGGGAAGCATTAATTGATTAGGACCCCAAAGAGCAGTTGATTTCACATTTTTTCACATAGTGCAAGATAGCACAGTGCACTCTCCACATGATGATGTAGGTGGGGCAATTTATATCTAGCTCCATTTTCTATAACTACCCCCTTTGTTCACTCACTGAGGCAAGAACCATATCTTTGTTAGGTGTCTTTGCACATTGATTGCATTGATGCACACCTGGCAGCTTGAACTTGAAGTAGTAGAGAATAACAAGAGCAGCTTGAAATATGCCCTGAGCACTCAGAGAAGCTGGAAGTTGCTGCCCTTTTCCAGAGAGATGAGGATCTGTTTCCACTGCTGGTTCCATAAGCCCTTCAACAGCAAATAAGCTTCAGCAGAAAACCCCATGCACGAAAAATCAGGTGCCAGCATAGCTGGACCAACAGACCATGCCATCAAGAGTCAGCTCCCTGAGCCTAGGCAGTTCTCCTTACATCTCTGTATAGGGTGCACTGGCATCTGGTCAGTACCACACAGCCATCACCCCATGCACTGAGGTCTTACAAGGCTCCAGCCACCCGCTCACAGCTCTGGCTGTGTGACCAGATGGGTGCTTTCAGACAAGTAGCTGAAGCCTATGCTTCCCTTGGAGGCAAAATCCACAGGGAAATGTTTTCAGGTGGCACTGGTGTTCTGAGCCGTCCCAGACTGACAGACACCTCGCTGTCTGTTCCCAGCCTCTGTGGGGTACAGTGGCCAGACAAGAAGCACTGACTCAGTAATGGAACAACTGCATGCTGGTTAAAGGGCAGGTTGGTACAGCTGTGAGCAACAAGCATTTCTTCTCCTTCCAGACCAGCAAGGCTGTCTCCAAAGGAGATTTTCATCTGGCCAGTTCAGCTTCCCGCCGAGCTCTCTTCCTTGCTGCGCTCTCCATAACCATTGGCACAGGAGTGTACATCGGGGTGGTGGTAGCACTGATCGCTTATCTCTCGAAAGGGGGCCACGTGTAGCTGCCACCTGCATGTCACTGCCATCCCTGGCCGCTGACCCTTCTGGAATTGAGCTTTCCTGCGGAGCACAGAGCACCAGTGCCTGCAAGGGCTGCTTGCACAGCAGGGCCCCAGCATGGATGTCCTGTGCAGGTTTCTTCCTCTTTCAGACAAACAGTAGACCCCTGTTCTCCCTGAGGCTGCAGCGTGTGACCATCTAACAGCAGGGAATTGAGCACCAGCCTGGCTGCTGGGACAAGGAGGAGCACGTTTGCCTGGTGGAAGAAGTGCAGGAGAGAAACCACACGCTGGTGCTGGGCTGGTGTGACCACCCTGATCGGGACTACAGCTTCCCTTCTCAGCCCTGCAGCTGGGAGATCCATCACTTGCCCAGGCTTGGCTCATGAAGGGTACACACAGGGAAAAAAGGGGATATGGTGCCAGTGAAAGGAATGACTGTTTATTCTTCTGGGAGGCCAGAGTCCTGGTGGGGTCTCCAAATTCCTGGATAGGGACAACATTCTCACTTCAGTGCTGTGGGGTGGCCTGACCCCTTAGCTGCAGTGAAGTAGGAGGACAGAGCATGGACAAGACCAAGAGGCATGCTCTCTGCATCCCTCTGCAGACAGATCCACAGGAGGACATCCCAGCTGCTGGTCTATCCCAAATCAGAAACAAGGAGGAAGGCAGGCTGGTGGTTGCACACCATCTCTCCCATTGTTGGCGCAAGCTGATAAAGACAGCAAGGTTTTCTCTGTGTTAATAGTGACTGTCATGGTGATCCCAAGTCTGAGCCCTTATAAGGTTGCCATCCCCGAGTGCTGGGGACTCAAAAAGATTTTTAATGGAAATCTCTACCTAAGAAGTGTCCTGGAAGGGGTGCTAGCCTGAAGGATTCCACTCCTTGTACTAGGTCAGGGCCCTGCACACAAAGAGGGATGGAAAGAAAAGGCTGATGAAATCTGCAGAATCTGGGACGGGAGTGGTGTTTGTGAGGGGACAAGATCCAGAGAAGGAAGAGATATGGAAGGAACCTGAGACACAGGGTGACCTCAACACACTCCTTCTCATGCCTTGGAGAGAAGCATCTCCATCCATCCAAAAGTCTCTAGTAACAAGGAAACACCAAGCATTCCCCCCCCCCCCCATCTTAGTTTTGCTTATTTGTATATTGTCAGCAACACATTAAGTGCTTCAGAGGTGGATATGAAGGCAATGGTTGCCCCAAAGGGCTGGTGTTAAGAAGCCGTGCCTCACTCCCCACTCTCCAGCATCTGCCTTTGACCATACCTCCTTTCTCTGGCTCCCCTGTTGCCTCTTTTCCCCATGTGCAGGAGACTGCTGGCAGACTCTGGGCATCCCTCACCCTCTTCCCAGAGTTTCTGGGCAGGCTGCAGCCAGCTTTGCAAGAGATGCAGCATGTTCCTCCAGCTGGGTGCCATTCAAATGTACATTTCATCCTAAAGAAGCATGTTAATGTCTGCGATTGCCATTGTACTTGAGCCATAAAAGAGAGAAGTGC